AGTTGTAAGTAAATCGCTTCGAGCCCTTCGAAGAAAAATCAGAGTTTATTCGAGATGAACAACGAGATCGCATAAAATCGAGCGGACAAGGGCATTTTGGCGAGCCAAAGCAACTCGAAAATGTACTAAGCAAAATTGCTTTTCCAAGGAACGACACAACGGATTTGAGATCAAACGATGCAAAATCTGGCAGTTGGTGGAGGTCGGGCATTTGCAATGGGATTTGCTTTTGGCCCGGAAATATGCATATAATTTACCTCGTTGAAATTGCCCCGTTTTAACATCGGCTGCAAGCTTATTCTGCGGGAAAAATGCAAACAAAATTTATTCGTGACTTATGTGAATTAAACTGGTGAAACTGAATTTTCGGAACAATTTTTCTAGTTCTGTAATTGTTGCTCACAGGCTGGGAAGGAACTCTTAATTAGTTGCTTATAACTTTACTCCGGTTTGCCAAAATACGAGAAACTAAACCAGCAAGCAGCGACCAAAAATTGCCAAAATTAATGGCGCAGTCAACTGGTTTTCCTGATGCGATTCACCGCACGAAAATAGTTAAAAAATTAAAACCATTCTGTTCCATTGCATGCATTTTTACATTCCTGCTGCATTTGCGTGCCGAAAGTTTCATCACACCCTATGAATGTTAACAGTCCATTGAGGGATGTTTTTCCAGTTTAGCTGTTTACTATAAAATGTTGTTTTCGTCGGTTTTTCATAAATGAGTTAGGCAGTTTTAATTAAAACACTTTTTAATCAAAATGAGTTTTTGATGAAGTTTAGAATTAATTAAATAGTAATTTGTAAGTCTATCGAACACAGAACTGAATATTCTTGAATATTACAGTTTTCTAATGAATTTTTGCTTTACTAACGGGTTTCGAGCTTTTTTGCTCTCATCACACTTCCATTGTCTTACGAAGATGTTTTTGTCTCAACGTTTCTGTTGGTGGTATCTGCAACCCGTTTTCAGGCGAGTTTGTTCTTATTTGTGCCAACCGAAACTGTACGGTGTGTCATACGCTACTAAATTATAACTAATAGGCATGCAACAAAAACTCAGTTAAAAATTGGGAAAATTAGCAGCGCCTTTCACTGGTTTTGCAGTATTTTTGTTGCGTTTAACGCTTAGAGAGTGATTCTGTTAATATTTTAGTTATTTGTTGTTATTTTATCTATAATGTGGTTTGTACCCTCCAATTTGCCAATACAACCTAAACTCCACTATACAATTTGAGGGCAAATAATTGAATAAAGTGATTGGTGATACTTGATTGATTTGTAGCAAACCATCTTGTTCTCGAAGAGTGAGCAGATAAAAGATGACGTTCAGGTGGCGCCGGTAACCGGAAATTATCACCTTTTCGAGCGAGAAAAATGCACTTTTATAACATCCATTATTTGAAAAGCGATTTTTCAGTGTCGATTCGGATTGAACGGCTGCCGAGCCACGAACGTCACACTTGATATCTGCCCATCGAATATAAATTGAGTTTCTGTTCTAGTTTGTAACAGATGACGCCAGTTTAGATGGGGAACATTTCTGTTTAGTGCAGGAAGGAACCACCTACTTACTATTGGGATTTTCAGGATGCAATGGAACAAAATATGCCCACAAAGATATAAAAAATGGATTGTCATCAAATGATTCTTCCATGAGCTCTTTGAACTAGTTTTAAAAGAAAGGAGTTTACAGCAGTTTCTCCAATTGGCTTTAATAATTCACATCTCAATCAAACAGTTCAATAAGAAATTCTTTTCCACTTAATCGACGATGATGGAAACTTTGGTCGATTCGTTCGCTTGATACAAGTGATGTTGCCGGAATCGCGAGGTGGAAAACGTTGTATCGAGTTATTACTGTGAAAACACAATATTTTCGATGTAGCTTTCACGCAATCTCATCTACGGGCCTCAAATTGTATTTCGTTCTTATTCTATCGCTTTCGAATAGACTTGTCGATTCTAAGAGGAAATAATCAATCAACAAATTGCTGAAACTGCAAAGGATTTTCATTTTTAATAACGCTTTTGGTGGATTTATTCGAATTTTTGCGGAAGAGTACAGTTAACTAATGCCCCTGGTGCTTTTCAAGTGTTTCTATTTCTGGCATCTGACCGATTTCCATTTGCAAAGTTTATTCCGGAATTGATTCGGCTCGATTTCGGTAAAATATGCAGGGACCGACTGAACGAATAAAAAGTTCAGCATTATATTTTTTCCCTGGGTTTTCAATACACCAGATCCTGTCAAAAGCAGTGGTGTTGATGCTAATTATGCGCCGTCTTTTTATCCTTCAGCCTTTGCTGGCTTCAGACCCATTTTTTGTCACATTTCCCTAACAGGGGACGGTTTATTTATATGAATTGATTCCGAACAGACTTATAGGTGTAGACTAACGAAAACCTCCAAAGACAGCATTTTGAATGTTTGTGAATTGTCTGAGCCGGCGGCCTTAAATAATTAGGAAAATAATAGAACAAGCTTCGTTTGCTCTTTTTGGCCGACTTAAATGCAATCCTTTAATCCAGAGTTACGCATTTTCGAGCACTTCAAAGCCAATGGAAGGGAGTTCTTGAATTATTGTCTTTCGCAAAGCGCCCCAGTTGCTTTGCAATTCATTTGCAAGTTTTTGCTGCAAAACTCACCAAGTAGTTTCCCGTGGCTTTGCGCGCGTCAGTTATTAAAGCATTCCTCTTCAGGTAATAATAAAGGCCGTAGAGTCAGCTGTGGATTCCACTAATTAGGTCAACCTTCATGCTTTTATCCTATTAGACGCGCGAGCTGAACCGAGTATGGCATCGAAACTTAATTAGGGACATTCCAGCTGCTTCTTTGGTCGTGACTAGACGATTTTTTGATAACAATTACTAATGGACTTGATTTAAAAAGGAAAATCGATCGTTAACAGTGTAGAAGTACAGTGTGTTAGATGAGAACAATTTGAACTTTTCAAACTGGTGCGTTTTCGGGTTTGCAAAGCGTCAAAGATCCGAAAAAATCACCAAGCTCCTGCAATGTAAGCCCAACTCGTCTGTAATAAATTTTTTTCTATTTAAGTAACATTCCTTTTGCGAATGTGACTCTTTGAACTGTACATTGTCGAGATCGCAGGCGAAAATTGCATAATAAGGAGCTCGAACAAGAGCTAATTCGGGTAATTCGCTGTGTGCACTTCGGGGGACAGTAAATTTTCTATGCAGAAAGTCGGGCAGTTTTAAATTTCATTCGACTCGCCTCGGCAAAGGCCTTTTTAAAGCCATTTTTCCCCGATCTTTTTAAAGCCAACTAGCGTTGAAAGGTCTTTGAAAGTGTTACGTGCTGCTAAATGTTATTTTTGCCCGAGTTTTATGTGCGGATTTCCAGTAGCGAGTTTACCCGCCATGTTATTAGCGCTTTTGTGAGTTTAGTTTTTAGCGTAATGCTGCTGACTGCATGGCGAGAATAACATGCAAATATGTTGTGCTGTTTCATGTTGCTGGTGTTTGCCGCTAGTGAAATGCGTCGAGAATCTTCTTTCTCCAAGATCGATTTTGCTTGGAAATTAAGTGCATTTGGAACCAGATCAGATGTTTCCTGGAACAAATGCTCTAATTATCATTGGTTATAAGCGATTAATTTTTCTTAGTCGACACAGCCGAAAAACACTGGGTTTTGTTCAAAACTGAATTATTTTTTAGCTGCAAAGCTGTCAGTTTCGAACGTAGCAACGGGCGGGCTATCTTGCGTCTCTACTTGACGCCCATGGGTGCGAGTGCGACAACCGATGCCAGCTCCGTTCCGGAATGGAAATTTGGAATGGAATGGAAAAAACAGGATACCAGTGAAAATCAAACTGCAAATATAGGTGTTTTGTGCTCTTAATTCAGCTAAACAACACTGAATGAAAATTCTCAAATTCTTCAGTTTTTTCGCAAAAAAACGACGTTCTCGACTCAACCGAACGAACATTCCCTAACATCCTCATCGACCGTCCAATTGGCTATTCCTCATATGCAGTCGGCTGGAAACCTGATAAACAACAGATAATTCTAGCGTTTCCCATTTCCATTAATAGCCGTTCAACGAATGCGTCAAAGGGAAAAACTTAATGCTTTTAAGGCCAGGTTTTTTCGCGAAAGCTGATTGGCGGATTCAGAGCTCGCGGCCCTGTCATAAACACTCCGCTTTGATGTTCCTGCTAAAATCCTTCTGCCATTTTTTATTTCCAAAGTATCCGGAATGGGCTTAATCGGGCCGGATTCGCCTCTCTCTTCTTGTGCCGTTCAGATTATGTCTTTGCAGTTGAAAGGTGAACCTGATTGGCCCATTAGTCTAATTGATTGAGTTTTGCGATTGTGTGCAGGATGACCATTCACGATTCTGTGTGTTTTTTATGTCCAGTGAGTGAGTGAAGAAACTGATTTACATGCATTAGAATCATTTTGGTTGCAGTTCATTGTCAGTCAATAGCAATAAATTCTGAAAATAGTCCCACTTTTCAACCGGAACGAATTCCACATGCCGATTAATCGAATCCGGAGCCTCTAATGGGACCGCAGGTCGATAAAACAGGTGTTATAGCATGAAATGGTCGACATAGTTCGTGTTGAGGATGGTTTGCGTATTTAAATTGCCCACGATTGGTGGGTTTGTAGCACTGGAAATTTCAATTTCACAGAACAAAATGCGAAAGTTCCAGCCGACACCTTGGGGGTGAACTTTGACAAGCGGAATTGCCTAAAGTGAGTCGTTTCACCCTTCTCGATGTAGACCCGAGTGCTCTCCCTAATTACTCTTTTAGAACTTGCTGCCTAATTAAATAAGTTACATTTGATTAAGCCTTTCAGATTTACGGGAATTGCCAGAAAGAATTTGCATGCTCATCATTCCTCCCAACAAGAGATTAATTTGCTTTTTAATAAGGATAACTGGCGGCCATGAAGAAAGGAGGAGGTTTGATGATTTAATTAGGAAACAGTCAGGAGCATTTAATTCGAGGAAAATTCAATAAGCAATGGAGCTTCAAAAATATGGCTTTATTTCAATTTGCCAATAGTCAATCATTGGTCTTTAGCAAATCCATACACTTCGAAGATAACTCGTGGGTCTGCTTGCGGTTGTATCGTGAAGTAGAGGCGAACGCTGCCTTTGTTCACTTCAATATTGGTGGCAAAGGCTTTTTCATCGCCAAAATTCAAGGCTCTCACTTGGGTGATTTTTCCGCCGGGAATAACCGCATTCCAGAAAAGGTCTCGTCTGGATTCATCAACTGTGTCCGGAACAAAAATGTCTCTGATCAGGAGCATGTCATCGGGTTGCCTGGTGCTAAAATAAAAAAAAAAACACACTATTTTCATTTAGGATTAACTATGAGAGTAAACAAGGAGTCGAGAGGATGTGGGTGTAGTTTTGTTCATTTGCGACTTATTGGTTCCTTGATCAAATACACTAAAATAAGGACAGTGGTAGATAAGAAGCGAGTGGAAGGCGACAAATCAATTCTGTCCAATCTAATGGACGTACAGTTCTCGCCTCCAGAACTGATGTATCACATATGGGGACAGCGAAACTGAATCCCCATAAATGTATAAAGTAAAACCCGAACGACGATATTGGTTTTCTCGTTTACGGCAACACCTTTTGGCCGGCGATTTTCGGGGAAAACATGAAAAAATCGCCGGCCATTTAAGAGGCCGTAGTTGACAAATTGAATTTACCCACGCATTATTTATTTATCTAACGCTGAAAATAAATAAGTCCCCTTTCCGAATCGCTTTTCCCGACGAAAATATGTGCGTTCGCACACACCGTATTTTATTTTCATTAAATATTTGCTCACAGGTCTGACCATTTTGACGTGTGTAAATTACTGTTTGCCTTCGCTTTTTATTCTCCCGGAAGGGCTCGGATTGGGTAAACACGTTTAGTGACGAAATTCCGGTTTTCCTGGACAAAATTTGCTGATATCGAAAATCTTCCAGACTGGAAACGCATTTTATCTGAGAAGAACCGTACAACTTGGCAACAAATGGATGGGGAAAATACAATTTACCTGGCGCTAAAGGAACAAATAAATTGGTCAGGGAAAGAACTAGTGGATAAATGTGGCGACAAACACAGTGGATCTATGCATTTAGTTCTGTTAACAGCAGAGAAAAATGGGGTTTGTCTTGCTGCTAAGCAGCAAAAGCTAATTGGAAAAAATGCTGAAATCTTCAGACTGTCCTCGGTCGATAGTTGCTTAAAGGCAAGGAAAAACGGCATTATTTATTTAACCTTATAAAGAACGAAACTGGCTCGAGGGCCCTTCTAAATGACGTTTAAAAAGTGCCGGGTCTCGCTAAATTCGCAGCAAAAAAAACAGGCAAATACTTGCGGAAAATTCTGCGTATTTTTCCCGATGGGCCCTCTGAGGCCAAAAACCGAGACAGTTTTTGCATTTTCAGAATTTCAAAAAACCATTTGACGGATATTATTAACTTGCAATCTTCATTATCTCGTGCGGATTTTATTACGGGTAACGTGGTGTTGGGTATGCAAAGGTTGCGACGGGAAAAATCTGGGAAAAGCGAATTTGAATTTATGAGCCCGTTGATTAGGTTTGGGCCCATCAGTTTACCTGGCCCGGTTTGCAGTAAAGTTTGATTTGCATCAAGCCCGCAGCTTAAAGCGACCAACGCAGAAAGTGCATAGGAATGGCTGAATCGAGCTTGCTAGAAGATTAATGGGAATGTTTCAGAGTTTCCATACCGGCAGAAAATAATTAGTTTTGGGAATATGGAGCATTGTTGAACCAAATCTTGCACTTTTAACGTTTGATAACAAATAACCCAGAACCATTTACCTATAAATCAAATCTCCTGAGTTGGTTTCCAGAGAAGGCCGCTTTCCTCCAGGATAACGAGCGAGAAATTTTTCGGTTTCCCCAACCACGGGAACCGTCCAGGTTCCGTTAGGCCCAACATCTAAGGAAGACACCTTTGAGACGATCTTTGTCAGATAATCAAAATTCTGGCCAATTGCAACCGAATTGACCTGGGAAAGGGCGCACAATGCAACAAAAAGGCCGATAGCAGAATACATGATTCGAGTGTACTGAGTGGAAGTGTATGAGTTCGGGCTTTTTATATGCTAGCATGCTAATGGGGCAATTTTTATGCAAATGCGGCCCATAAATCGGTTTATTTTAACAAAATGAAATGAGCAAATGGTCAAACCATGTGCCAAATAATAACGGCGGCGGCCATAAATTCCGTCCTTATCGCTTGCAGTTTGCCTAATCCAAGAAAATCGATTGCCAAATGTTGCACCAATTTTGTCATTTAAAACAAATGCAGATGCTTTGTCTGTTTGGGCCAAGTTAGTGTTTTTTTCAATTGTTAACTCTACTTAAGGTATTTTAGAACATTAGTAGGCATGCAATGAACAACGGAAAATTTTGGATTTTTCCTTTAAACTAAAAATTGTATAAAGAGTGGATTAGTTAAGACCTTCGTTTGAAAAATCCAGCTCGCAGCGAACAAAAAACAACTCGGTTTTACTCAAAACTGAATTATTTTTTAGCTGTGAGCGTATCAATTTGGAACGTAGCAACGAGCAGGCATCTTGCCTCTCTCACTGACCCTTATGGGAGCGAGTGGGACAGCCGATGCTAGTTTCGTTCCTGAATGGAAAATTTGGACTCGCAATCAACACAACTCTCAACAAAACTTTATAAAATACTGGTTCTGCTTGTCGCCATACTGAGTGGTCTCAAAAATACGTGCGTAAGTCGACCATTTCCCAGCTAAAACTCGCCGTTAAAGTCTCATCGAGGAGGGAATTTTATAAGCAACGTATCTGCGTGTAGATTTTTCCCCAAAGCATTATTTATAATCGATTTGGCTGATTAATGCCAATGCCAGCCAGTCTCGATTAAGCAAGCAGTCATTTACATCTCTGCTTGGCAAAACAATCCTATTCAAGTTTGTTTGCTTGTAACTCAAATGGAAAACTAGTCGAATGGCTTGTAACAGTTGAAAGTGCCCTCGGCGCTGAAAAAAATGTATCAATTTCCTCGGGTTTTCCTCGAATTACGTCCGGCAGACACGAGCAAGAAGAAAACATCCCGCACAAATTACCACGCTTTTCGTTTCCACTTCTCTAATAAAATATCTGTTTTTGTATCGCAGTCAATTTCATTCGCTAAATTGGATGTATTTTATCGTTCAATGCTTTTAGTGCGCGCTTTCTTAACCGAACAAATAACGATTTAAAGGCGCTTAAGTTCGGATAAAATGGTCTAACTTGGATCGGCTTTGAATAGTGGACTTCACCAGTCCAGATTGTACCTGCCCCCTACTTGTAACTTTACTCGGGGATTTTTATTGAAAATTGCCTAATCTATATTGAAGCTAAGGGCCGCTTTGGCTAATGTTTCAGCCTCGTTGCAATTGGCGTCAAATTTCCTCTGCTTTACTGGATTTTTCTCAAAGCAGCAAGTCGGGGTTTTTGCAGAAGTCGAAAGAAATTAGCCTGACTTTTTAATTTGCAATTTCCCGCCTATGATTGATGGTCTGCACCGAAAGACTTGATAAAATTACAAAAAACCCCAACTGATATGCAATTTGCGTGTCATTAGTCTACATTTGCATAATTAAAAAGTTCATTATCCGTCTTCATCAATCAACAATACGCGGCTGATGGCAGGGATAATGTTCTTATGGGAAAACTCGATAGGAAACCGCAAAAATTTAACGGTTATTTAAAGGAAATGCCACAAGTCTAATGAAGCCTGGCTCTATTGAATAGTTTCGCCTCTTTGAAGGGTTGCTCTATTTTGAGGAGCTAATGTTCGCAGTTTAGAGCCGATTTGCATTCAGAACACATCAGAACACTCGGTCCGACTAGATATGGATAAAATTGATGCAAATTTTATTACATTCGCCTCTGGAAAGTGGCTTATATAACCCGTTGGCTTACTAAGGGTGGCCTAATCGATCTATCGGCTCAATAAGCGCACTAATGGCCATACGTGATCGTCTTTAGGGGCTGTCCCTATTTAACCGAACAAATTAAACGAAAAAGTCACTGCGTGGAGCAGCACGTATTCAATACGTATTGCTAATAAGCTTTCATAAGCGAATTAGACCTGCAGGACGGTTCTGTCCGTTGGAAACGGATGAAAAAAGATTTGCTGAGCCAAAGCACCTTCTTTAAAAATCCACTTTATTTGCACCAACAACTGTCGAGCGAATCCCCGGCTTTATTCCCCAACTTATTTTGGAATACAGTTAGCCAAAGTCTATTTTTGAGTGCTAAATGGATTAGGACGGGGAGGGTTTAGCGGAAAATACCCTTTTTTCCCAACTATGTTAATTAGAATTGATCTGATTATGAGTGAGTCAATCGCGTTTGCAAGTGTTTACGCGTTTTAGGGCTGGTAGATTTTTGAATCATAGCAAGTCCGAACGGGTTTAAATCGGGAGAACGCGACGGACCCCCAATTGAAATAAAGCCAGTGAGCAGAAGAATGCAAATCTAGTGAAAGACATCAGGTAGTTTCTTCATTATTTCCTTCCAATCCACGGGTCTAAGATGAATCTTGCCCAACAAAGAGTTTCTGGAAGGTTAATCCCACACAAATCACTAGTTTCGTTCTCTTTATAAACGAGCATTCGTTGCAAGTCAAGAAAACCCCCTTTTCCTCCTTGAAACCCGCAACTTCCCAGTGCAGCAGGAAACACTTTCAATCCACCTTAATGTTTTTGAGGCTGGAAAAATTGATAATTTTTTGTATTTTTCCAGGATGCTCTTGTCCTGCCGCCGCTTGCACCTGCCCAGCCTTATAGTGATCTGGTTAGTCTGCAGTGGCGTCGCAGGAGGGACCAGCCAGCTTTGCCCTGCCTCATGCACGTGCAAACCCTCGGATAAGGGCAAGCGCAGAATCACCTGCCTAGCTGGAGGACTCAGCGATCCCATTCCGACTGGWCAAATGGATCCGCGTACTGAAATTTTGGAAATTTCCGCTCCAGAAGACCGAAAGAACTGGCTGAGTGTGACGTCGATTTTYCAGGTATGAGCCAATGAKTGTTTGTTCGAGTAGCGATCATTCAATAGATTRYGATAGAATGTGRAAACTAGGATATTAAGGAGTCTATCGGCAAAGGATCTGGAACAATTTCGAAATGAACCCATTTSGATATCAATGTCATCTGAACTAATAATAATTTGTTAGAATAGCCTATAAATAACAGCGCTTGKGATATAAAACGCGACATTCTAAGCCATTAGGTGTTATAAATAATAAAGCGATTGGAGGTCGGTGTGTAGTCGGTAAAGAGCAGCAGGATATTAGCRTTGGATAATAAATAATATTATCCGAATCTAGTGCGATTAGGGCCAATATGATTATAAAGTGTTGGAATTTTCTTCTAGACAAATGATACATTGGTCCGGGAGTTTCAAATTCCATCGACTTCCATCTATAAAACTCAGACTAATTCATCTTGGGAGCAGTTTAAAAGCAATGAAGCATCTAAATTTGATTTCAAAATTTAATGTTAAATAGAGCGTGCATTTTCTTGAACAATTCAACAGTTTTCATTTTTTCCTCAAACAATGTGCATTCTAGCGCAAAAGCTGTTTTTTTTGCGCAAAAATCCGTAGACCTTTTTTTAATCCCGATTGAATGCAGAACATAAAAGGATTTTTGTTTGTGCAAAACTATAGGCAGGCACCAATGTTTTTCTGAAAGCTACCACTGTTTATTAGAGCGTTAATTGTCTCTGCAATCCAACGGTGTACATTTTTTAAGCCGAAAACTGCGCATTTTTGCTAAAAAAAACCCTAAAAGTTTTTTGTTTCCATATGAAACTTGAATTAGAAAGTAACTTTTAGTTGCGAAAAAGCCATTGGCGTGCATCATTGTTTTTCTAAAAACTGTTACTGTTAACTAGATAGTTAATTTTTCCTGACGGTAAATTCAACGGTGTTTTTTTTAATAAAAAACTTCTTTTTGCAAAACTACCCAAAGATGCTTTTTTATTAGAATCACAAAACAATTTTTGATTGTGCAAAAGCCATAGGCGTGCACCAATGTTTTTGTGGACGCTTCCACTATTTAATAGAGCGTCAATTTTCTCTGCAATCCAACGGTGTACATTTTTTTAATAGAAAACTGCGCATTTTTGCAAAAAAACTAAAAAAGCGTTTTGGTTTCAATCTGAATGTAGAATCGGGAAATAACTTTTAGTTGCAAAAAAACCATTGGCGTGCACCTCTGTTTTTCTGGAAACTTACTGTTAGAGGGTTAATTTTCTCTGACTGTAAATACAACGGTTTTTATTTGTTGAATAAAAAACTGTGTTTTTTTGCAAAAAACCGAATGACGCTTTTTTGTTGCCAGTAGAATGCAGAATCACAAAACAATTTTTGATTGAGCAAAAACCATAGGCGTGCATCAATTTTTTCCTGCAAACTACCACTAAAAAACGGAGCGTTAATTTCCTGGGGCAATCTAACGGTTTTTGGCAAAAAAACTCAAAAAACGGTTTTGGTTCCCAGCTGCATTTAAAATCATAAAAAAATTTTCATCGTTGTCACTCTGGACTGTTAAATAGAGTGACAATTTTCTGCGACAATCCAACGGATTTCATTTTTCAAATACAAAATTGTGCTTTTTCGACAAAAAACCTAAATAGTTTTTTGTTTCCAATTGAATATAGAGTCAGAAAATAATTGTTATTTTCGACCAAACCATTGGCGTGCACCGTTGTTTTTGCCGGAATGTACCACTTTTATATAGAATGCTAATGTCTGAATATCAATGAAATTGTGCAGTTTTGAAAAAGCAGATAATTATTTTCTTCCCGGAAAAATCCTTATCTTCCGCCGTTGGTTTCGCCGCAAAGAAACAATGCCTTATAGTGTTAATGTTCTCGGACAATCCAGCAGTTTTATTTTTAAATCAAAGCCTGTGCATTTCAGTGAAAAAACCGAAAAGAGCTTTTATGTGCCCAACTCAATGTTGAATGAGCAAATAATTTTTGCTTCCCGAAACACCATTGGCGTGCCCCGTTTTTCTTTTCAATCGTTATATATAACGTTAATTTTCTGGGACAATTCACCGGTTTTCATTTGTCCTTAACCAAAACTTGCACTATACAACTCCTACAAAAACGAAGTTTCAGCACAAGAAATGAATTTTATTCCAACGAGTAAATAAACCAGGAATTTCGAATAAAAATCGCCCTGCAAAGTGAAATCCAGCCTCTCATCTCTTAATTTAATTAAATGAAAATTTAATCAGTCCCCGATTAGATTTACTTCTTTGACTTGGACTCCAGGTAAAACGCGACTAGTTTCAATCAAATTAAGCAGCTCTAAAACAAGTTGGCCCAATTAAGTTAATTAAAACTCCTAATTGTTGTTTCAGCATTTCAAGCAGTTGGAAGAGCTGCACATCAGCAACTCGAATGTGAATCAGATCAGCATGCACGCGTTCTGGGGCCTGCCCAGCCTCCAGGTGCTCAGTCTGAGCCTGAACAACATCAGTGCAGTGTTCGATCACAATTTCCGCGGTTTGGCCAATCTAGTGGAGCTCAATCTGGACGACAATCGGTTGGTGGCAATTCAAAGTGGCTCGTTCAAACATCTGACTGAGCTGCACGTGCTGAGCATGCAGAGGAACAAATTACGCGAACTCATGCCCAAAGCTTTTCTGAAGCTGGCCAAGTTGCACACGCTGAAAATCAGCGGGAATCAGTTCGAGGAACTGGATCCGGAGGCTTTCAAAGACATTCCGGTAAGTTTGGCCTAATTGTGCGTTCTTTTCTGTCTGTAAAGCAATTAGACACACAAACCTCTTAGGCAATTGAATAAACCTGCAAAGTAACAGGGCTTGTGTTAAATTGCTCGGCAGTTTTAGGTATGCAGCTCCCGTTAGGTATTGCACTGAACATCTTGGGCAACTTTTCGAATTTAATTATATGTCTGGAAAACGTTCTCTGGGATTTCGTGACTGTCGTAATATTCTAGTTGAAAAGGAACTAACTAACAGACTTCAGTTTCCGTATATTACGCTGAATCAATTTTCCAAGTAGACGCATTCAAGCGAACATTGTTGAATCGGCTCTGGGAATGTTGGTAACAATCACGTTTATTGTGAGCGTTTGGAAATTTCCCCTAGAAACAGTCCAACGGGGACTCAGATCTTGGCATAAACGCCTATCACATGATTAGGATTTTAAATTTTTCCATATTCAAATAATTCCAAACATGTATATTCAGGTTTCTCAGCACGCATGCATCTAATGTTTGAGATTATGCAGAAATACCGAATCCATTATAAGGGCCCCTCTAAAAAGCGATTATCCTGATCCTTTTCCTTCCCCTTAAGCGTAAAATAGCGACGCAAGAACTCGATCCGCATCCGGAGCCAAATTAAAAACAAACACTAAAAAATAACGACACATTTATGTTCGCAAAGGATTTAATCAACAACAAACGACGAGTATGTTTAATTATATTGACGTAACGTTTGGAATGCAGATGGCAAGTTTACAAGTGCTCTAGATTTTTCTTTGACTATTGATCAGATTGCTTTGGAGAAAAACCTGCCTCACTCTACTAGGGTGTATTTTGAACATTAGCCAAATTTAATCTTCTGTCTAGTCTGTTGCTGGCAAAATACTTTTAACTCCTTAAACCGCCTTTACGCTCTACTTTTCAGTTCCTCTTTACCATCTTCGTGCAAAAATAATGCATCCTGATAATCCCCAGTAATTAAAATTGCCATTTCAAGAGGTAAAACAATGACAGTTGTAACGAAAATGTATAAACCAAATTGAATTTTCCGCAAGAAAGTCTGTGAACAGTTTTAGACAATCTTAATCACTCTGTCTAGGCAAAATCTCGCGACAAAAACACTGCCTGTTTCGTCTTACTCCAATTACTTCATCAGGCTTATCAAATTGAGAAGTTTCGCTGGCCCAAAACAACGTCCTGATTTTATTATTAAACGAAGCGGAAAGGTATTTTTCTTGCAAACTGGTATAATTCAGCAGCGCCACTTTTATTTCAGACGCGTCCCGACAGATAAAGGAAACAAATTGGTACTGAAATTATTTCCATTACGGTTTGGTTTTTTTTCCTATACAAAACGCCCCGAGTGTATTTATCAAATGCCGCACAGTGGCGGAGGAATGTGCAAGAAACTATTTCAATAACACACCGGACTAATAAAATGTTAATAAATCCGGCGGCTTTAAATTCGTTCGCGCTTAAGCCGATGGAAATCTGTTTTTAAACCGCATTGACCGCTCAAATACCCCAATTTTGCCTTCTCTTGCTCGGTCGGAATTAGTCAATTTTTGAATAGGAAAACGAAACCGCTTAACCGATTTCTGGCAAGAAAAAATCGATCATGGTTTTGAAATTTTTTATAGACGAACGTATCAATTGGATGAAATTTGCCCAATTTCGATAGAATTCAGGTCATACATGTATTTGCGTAATTTGCTGCTTGTAAAGTCAATTTTGCGACTTAAAATCGATTATAAAGGTTTGGTCAAGATGAAATTCATTCCACATTGTGTCACTTCTGAGTTATAAGCTTTTTTCAAAATTTGAACAATGTTAATGCGAGTTTTCCACTTGGGCTTCTACACATTGAACGTGAAAATGTTCCTACTAAATAAATCGTGTCGCTAATCGGTGCGCTTTGAATAAATTCTATCAATCTAAAAACAAACTGAAGAAAACGTATTTTTTCAATTTGTTAAACTTGTTCTTAGTGCAGAAGTCTGAGCCGAAAAAGTTCCAAAAATACTTGGGAATTGCGTTGTAATAAACAATGAAGATAGTGCGAACCTCGCAAGGAAACTCGACCAGTCGAACCTACCAACTTCTGAAATAATAAGTTCATTTGGGCTACGCGATCGTGCTCTATGCGCTCCTTTGGACACCCGCGCAACACCCCGCTTCCCTCTTGCCCAAACTTCCCCAGGCCTTTGGCAAACAATTTGAGCACATTTTTGATTCTTTCGCTTTCGACCTACGAGCCAACATGCCTAATTTCGGAAACCGTTTTCAACTAAAGATGGCACTTTCCGACAATTCAGGTTGTCGTGATGATTTATTTGGAAAATTAAATATTTTATCTGTTGGGTTGTTTGAGTTTTCGTAGTAATTGATTTAATTTAATTGTAATTTAATTAATTTAGTCCCTTTTCGCTCTGTTAATGTTGGAAGTTGACCAAAAATCGTCAAGATGAAACCTTTTTTTGATAGAATATTTCAGTCAATCCTCTGGGAGTAATTCGCAGAAATTAATTATAAAATCTGAGCAGTCAATGTCTAAATTTTCCCGGAAAAATCACAATGTTTTAAAACTATTTTACACGCTAAATTAAAGCTTTTCATCGTAAGCCGCTACCAGTGCGCCTGATAGTCGACTCACAAACTCTCTGCTTAATCCCACTCGAAGGACCAAAATTCTGATAAAACGCCCGACTTTTGTTGATATTCAATTTGTTACTCATCAGTTTCTCAAGAGATTTGCCTCCTGTTAATATATTTGCTTTGGACCCATTTTCGACCTATTAGGCTGGGGAGCGGCCCTTTTGCACGGTGAAAGGATGTATTGAAACCAGCGTTGATAAACTATTAGCCGAAAAGTTTCCAATGTTATTTGTTGCCGCGACAAGTGAATTGTTCCGATTTTGCAACAGTCGAGCAGTTCTCAAAAGTTGGCAACTTATGAGCGAGTTTGCTGAGTTTTATGGCTTCAAGCAGAATAAGTCGGCATTTGCAAAGTTTGGCCGTGCACTATTTATCGTCTATTAGAGCGCAAAAAAGTTGACAGTTCACACATTCGTCGACAAGTTAAAAATGCTTCGGTTGCGAATTTTCCGCCCCGCCCCCATCGAAAGATCCCCCCTAAATAAAATGCTTTCGGTAATAAATTCCCATTCAGTGGTTGTCTAATTTTGGTGCAGTTTCAGCTGGCAACCGTTCGCATATTTTATTCCGGGCGATTTTTTTTTGTTTGCTGGTCTGGAACACGCCATTTGGAAGAACTGACTCAATTGCCCATTGTGGTAAACGGAAATTTAGTTCCGTGGGTTTTCCAATTATTAGAAATGCACCTGCTGCGCTTCCAATAACTTTATTAAATCCGATAGGGACTTATTAGTCCGGCCTGCATGCGAGCAGGATAATCGAAAAACTGACGTTGGTTATAGTTTCCCGATCGGGTTTTCATTTTTCTGCTAATCCGATTAGTTCTACTTCTACTGCATTGCATTCCTTTGCAAAAGGGCATTGTCCAATAAAAGGGCAAAATGCTTTCAAATATGTTGTAAAACGTTATTTTCTGCTGTTGTTATTTCGTTGAAAGTAGCAGGATGTTGGCACCCTGAAGATGGCAGCCACAAAACCCGAAAAACTGGCTGGTTTCCAGAACTTTGTTAATTTGCTCGCTTCCACACACATCTCGAACATTAAGTTAAACCCATGTAGAAAATAAATTTTCCGTAAACCGTATTAATAACTGCGATCGAGTTATTTATCGGGCAAAAAGTCGTTGCTGTACGACGTAAATTCAGCTCTGGAACTGGAGTTACCAGTAACTCATCTTGTTGTATCGGGGTTTGATAATAAACGCTCGCTAGGAACAAATTAAAGCAATATGGGGGATCATAACGGGGTATTTGAATTAATTTTCGCCAAACCTCGATTACAACCACACTGGTCGATATCGGTTAGGAGTCGATGGAAAATTGCCGTGCGAGAGATTGCAAAATCGACCAGTAATAGTAATATCTACAGGTAAATTGCGGGGTTTATTTGGGCGTTGGTGCATGAGTTGGGAAAATGCTGCTCACTTGGCAACTTTCTCACAAACTGTTGTCACAATCCTCTCAGATAATCCGCGTGTACTATTTGGAAAAGCAGAATGGAGAATCGATTCGACTCAAATGGGAAGAACCGCGTTTCATCTAATTTATGTATCGGGAAATAGGGGCGCCGCACAGTCTCGAATTTTTGTTCATCCAGCAAACGAAGCGAGACGGAATCGAGGAGGTTTAAATTCAGTTCATCAAACGTATTGGTAAAGCAAAGGGAGGAAATGTGAGAAAATGAAACGAGATTTAGTAGGAAGCTGGTTGACTGACCAGGTTGCCGTTCCTGTTACATTTCCGGCTGGCTAATAAATCCAAAAAGATCGCTTTGAGCTGGAAACAATGCCCTTGCACAAATCAGGATCATATTGGCGCTTGCGAGCTGCTAGATGGGAGTTTGTTAGCAAAAGCAATGGAATGGGGGAATTAATGGAATTTTTGTGGCACTTTCGGATAAGATGGCAGAATTAGATTCTTCGGCGTGAAAACTGTGTGAAAATTTCAGGGGTCTGTTTCAAGTGCACTGACTAAATGTGCGCGTGAACCCACTGAAGTTATTGAAAGTCCAAATCAAAATAGTCATTTATTGTCTTTATACAGGGTTATTCATGATATACGGCACGGAAGTTTGCGGCTAAACCGTTTGATTTTTAAAAAGTATTATTCTATGAGTTGTCCGACCCCTAGCGAGCGCACATTTTAAAAATATTTTCGTAATGTACAGGTGTATATTATTGCATTCTTGGATTCGCTGAACGAAATAAGTGTCTGTTTTAATAAGGTTTATAACACCTAAATCTTAAGGTTTTTTAAATAATACGAATTTAATCTAATTTTCACGTGTCAAATACTTTAGAA